ACCAAAATTACACAAATATATCTTCAAATACTAAAGAGTAAATTCTTTCAATAAAATTGACATTGGCTTCAACCATTGTCTACATACGACTTCGGAATCTCCTGCAGCTTTTCTGGACGGTCGCCTTGTTTAAGTTGGTGAATGCTGCCATAATTCTTGCCTTCAGTTCATCTTTGTTGTTGCAAAGAGGTCTGTTGATCTCGTGCTCAACTGTACCTCACACAGAATAATCAAGGGCGCTGGAGCCTGGGAAGTTAGGTGACCAGATATAAAGGGTGATATTGTCGCAGAAATTGTCTGACAGACATGACTGAGTACTCCTGCTTGTGTGGTATGTTGTAGAGTCCTGTTGCCAGACGTATGTTCTTCCATCAGACAACCCGGGCTAGCACTACCTCCTCAAGCCACTTGATGTAAGCTTCTGTGTTGAACCTGATGACCCGTGGTAAGATGATTGGAGGTATAATGTCGCCATCACTAGTAATCACTCCAAACACCACGCTGTAGGCTGTAACGTCACACCGGGCCCGCTTCTATCCTGTCCTATCCTGTGACGACCAATGTGACTTGGTATTGGTCGCGGCACCAAATGTGACGTTCTAACCCTTTGCTGATTCGGATGGGAATCTAGTTAGATTCGGTATCAGCCTTGTCGTTCCCAGATCGCCTCCAACGTCTGGTTACCAAAGTAACTGCTTTGATTTCTAGTCTAACCTACCCACGTTGTGATTTGATCTTAGGTAGACGAAATCAATCAGTCGCCGGGCCGCAATGCAAGCCGAGTCCGAGCAAATGTAACACCACACAAGTATATGTAAAAGAAAATAAAGTAACAACTCGAAAAGTTCAAATGTTTTAAAAAATGAATAACAAATATTTTTATATCTGGTTTCTGAATACAGGACTGCGTCTTTCTCCCAAACCGCTAATATGGCTTCGTGACACTTTATGTTTGTTAGGCGAGTCTTAACATTTTAAGTTGTTTGTTCTTTAAGAAACTGGTTCTTGGTGTATCTTCAGGCGATATTCGTAAAACTTGTTTTGGTGGTGTGAGTCTAAGTCGTTCTTCGAAAATAAATTGTTTTTGATTAGAAGTTGAAGTCGGGATGCGTGGATCTTCAGTCAGCTTCCTGCGAGGCTGGTCTCAGGGCTCAACAGCTTCACCTGCAGCTAACTTCTCTCTCTCTCACTGCAATTCCAACTACTGGCTAACTCGCTGCGACTCTGCTTATATGGACGCCGACCAAAACCGGGTGTGGGGTTGTCGTAGTTTGGGGTTCCTCGATAATTCTAAATCCACAATAGGGATTTTCTTTGTTTTCGGACAGGAAAATTTATCACTTTTCATTTTTGGTAGTCCATTGCTTTCTTAGTTCAGAGGGGTTCTTAAGGGTATCGTCCTCCCAAATTCTTCCTTTCTCATATTGGTATCTCACACAAATCCCCTCAGAGGGCGTCAACAGTTTTCCCTTCTTTCTCATAGTGGTATCTCACACCATTCCCCTCAGAGGCGTCAACAGGCCTCCCCTCCTTTGTCATAGTTTACCTTCGCCTACCGCTCACGCCACCATTCAGCAGCGTGGGCGTGGCTAGACTGGCCCCAGTTCAAAAAGTATCGCACAAAGAAAAAAAATTATCTTCCCTTTTCTTTTTCTTTTCTTCCTTTTTTCGACATCAAACCCCTACAACTCGTAGTGTGGTCCTTAATCTCTATCTTAACCGAAAGTCACCTGGACTTTATCAATCGGGATTTCCGCCAGCGTCAAGTGGGTGGTTAACTGGACGAATTCGCATTCTGTATCCAATTATCCATTCCGATAACAAACTTTTATCATGTCCAGGTTTGGACAATAAAACAGGTAGTCTCTTTCCAAAAACAATGACATCTCCGAAAGATAGTTAATGGTTTATTTTATCCCTCTCTCTCTTGGGTGGTCCAGCCGATGTTTTTCTCGGTCAGTGCGTGGCCTGATTAATACTATCTCCCAGCTTCTGTTTCGTAGGGGCACTTGACCAATTTGAGATTTTCAATATTGCCATGGGCAGATAAGTATCTCTTATTCGCCGCCTCGTAACATAAATTAATTCGACAGATCCGAGATCTTACGAATTTCCTATCTTCGGCAAAAGAAAAACATACTTTTTCTTTTCGCAAATGAAAATAAAATCTTTACCACATTTCTTTGTTAAAAAAATAACATCGCACAGTATGTCTTTTCGTGATAGCTTCTTATCGCCTTAATTATTTCAGCTTCTTCTCGCCTTAATTATTTCTCGCTTTTCATTTTCATAAATAGTGTCACAAGGTTGCATATATCATCCAACTCAGTTTGAAAACGAAACACTCTGAAATATTTCTATTGGAGAATTTTATGGCAAAGTAAATTGAGTCATGGTATTATTTTTTCACAGACGTTTCCCAACTGACCCTGACAGTGTAGTCGACAAAATCAAAAGCAAATAATGCTCACGCACGAAATTATAAATATATAATGGCCAC